GGTCTTTATTATATAGGTTAGCGGAAATGTCATGCCATGACCAAAAGTTTTAAAAAGACATTGGAAAAGAGTAGATGATGCTCATCAATCTGGACAGGGTTACAAAAACCATTACTAAACATTTGAGACTCCATTCATACATCCATTGGCAGGACTGATCTCCTTACCAGAACCTCTCCAAAAGCAGCCAAGAAAATCATCTAGGATGTCAATTAAACCAGAGTAACATAAAAAAAATGACAGGATGTATGTTTTTCTTATAGATGGACAGTTACAGTCCCTGCTACCCTGTATTGGATAAAGCAGAAGATGGATGCCTAGACAGCTACGAATAAACCATTGCTCTCTAAAAAGCAACAAACATTGCTGTCTCACATTCATGGATGATCCATGAGCTGTTCAGTTCCAACAGGAAACAAAACTCAAACCCTGTCTTCCAACAGAAGGACCTCACATTGACTGTTAAGCATGGTGGTGGGAATATCAAGGTGGGCTGCTTTGCTGCCTCGGGACCCAGAGGCATCACACACAGAACCGTGAATGCAGTGTAGTTTAGGTGGTCACCAACATACATCGGGTTTAGGGACAAAAAAGTCACAGGGTATTGCAAAATTCTTTGTAAAGGAGTTTTTCCCCGTTAGAACAATGTAAATATTAAGAGTCTGGGATATCAGATCAAAGGGTCCTATTCTCAGTCCAGGTTATGTCCTAAATAATGCAACTTAGAGAAAAAAGACTTAGAAAGGGAATTAATATCCATAAGGAATAATGTAATTGGTTTGACACGCATTCAAATCATGGGGTTCACACACAGGTACATTCATTCAACGTACCTATAACCCAATAACCCCAAAACACAATAATCAGAAATAAGACAGCATCACCAACTCCTTTCATATTGAAGTCTTGTCAAAACCAAAAGTGATTCACTTCTTCAGGATACTTCGCTCCACACACTGCGCATGCATTAAAAGTAAGAGATCAAACTTTGATCAATCATTGCTTGGATCAACAATGCAGTGCAGGGTATGAACTCAACTTTAATGTTGGGGCATAAAGGTTCAGAATTTAAGTCATGGGCAACAGCATTGTCTACAACAAGAATTGGCAATGTTAGATTTTGTTCTTTACACTATTTTTTTCATTTCCAGACCAAAACAATCCATGAACAGACTATTGTATGTTGCTGGCTTTTGGTATTTTGAAAAATTATGTAAGTGTGGGGAATTCCTACATCAAGATCACTGCAAAACATACATACAGTATATTGTATACTGTACTGGATAGTGTATATACAGTATAGTGGGGAGAGTTATAATGGAAACCCCCTATAACTGCTGGTTCTGGAGGAGAATGTCAGGCCATCCATTTGTCAGCTAAAGGTAGTTCAGGAAGTAAGACGATGATCCTAAACATACACGCAAATTAACAACAGAATGACTGAAAAAGAAGAAATTTCTCAAGTCAAAGTCTGAAACAAAACCCCTTTGAACTGTTCATGAAAAGAAACCATCAAATATCACTGACCTGAATTAGTTTTGTTAAGAAGAGTGGGCTTATATTCATTAAAGCCAATGTGAGAGAAAGAGTTTGATGAAATCTCTTGTTGAAATCACTGCTGCTCACAAATTGGCCAACAGTCAGTGAATCTAAGGGTTCTTGTATTTATTCACACAAGGATATTTACTGTTAGATCATTTTAATTAAACAATCCACATCTATATTGCATCTTTGTGTTATAAATTTAATAGGGTTATCTTCATCTTATTCAGACACTCGTGAAGATCTAAATTTGGTCTAAAACATACAAGATTACAGACGGACCTAGGGGGTTTACAAACTTATTTCAGCACTCTATTACATAAGACCTTTTTCGCAAACTACTCTGAAAACTCCAGGCTTTGAAAAGTAGCCCTCCTTACTCTCAAAAAGCAGTTGCTTGCTACTAACGATAAGAAGTTCCCACATTCACTCCCACAAACCCATCTGGGACTGATCAATCTTATTTACACAAAGTCCAATTCTCCCTGGCTTGCACACCTTGTGTGTGTCACTAGGTGCTTGAACCTGATCACTCTGTCCTCTTCATACGTCAGGGACAGGGGTGCCCTTACTCTTCCTGCCAGGCAAGGGGAAGGCGGACTTGCTCTGGGGCTGAGTGAGCCGACTGGTGAGCACGGTGAAGGGCTCGATCAGAGCGGCTCGCTCCCTGACGCTCACCTCCCACAGCTTCACCCTCTCCCCCCGGGCCCACTGCTGAGCCACCTCTGGGTCCACCTGCCTGTGCTCCTGCAGGTCCAGCTTGTTTCCCAGGACAATCACTGTGACCTGTACATACAGAAAGACCACTCAAACAATCCATCCCAGGTTACTGAAACAAAAATGAAACCCACTCATATTTTTCTTTTTAGGAAACGCTTCCGTCTTTTCACTTAACTATTTAAAGTATTTTTTTTTACTAAACATCACACCAAGCTGGGATAAAACTGTGTGCTCAGAGAGGGGACTATTAGAACTTGAAGATGCTATACAGTAGAGTCGCAATTATCCGTCCTAAAGAGGGATGATAGTATGTTGGATTATTGAAAATGTCGGATAATGCAGAAACTGAGTAGACAAATCATAGATTAATGTAAACGCAGTATAAGTATGAAATCTGGTTTATTAATCTACTGTAATACTAAAATAACAGAGTACAGAACTATTTTTAGTTATTATTTTTAAAAAATGAGTGATTGCAATCTATGGGTTGCAGGGTTCCACTTCTCTTCCTTGTGGCAAGGTCTCGCCAGTGTTTTAGTAATGTAGCGTTCTCGGGTTCACGTGGGTATGCACCCTCGCCGCTGCAGCCTCAGGTCGGCCCCCCACCACTGGGGACTCAAACCCAGGCCTCCGGCGTCACTCAACAGAGACCCAGCCAGTTGAGCTAAAGGGAAATCTCCCTGGGCCCGATGGCTGCAGTCCCTGCTATTCACAGGGAAGGGCGGTGACATCACCGCGCTGGTAAGCCTAATTTCTCAGACTCCTAATTTCTCGGCTATTAAGTCTCGGTAACAAAATACATTCACTGACATTTCTAAATTTCTAATTAAGCATGAAATGGTAAACTTTGTGAAAGTATTGTAAGTCGCCACATTGTTCCCATGAATTGTGATGTGATGCGGCCCTTCCTGCTCACTAGTCACCATAATGACTAATGTAATGCGACGTACGAGCTACAATACAGGTTGTGCAGCAGACATTTCACCAAAGAAATGTTTCACCATTTGAAACAAGTAGTTTTTGTCAGCAAAGCCATCTCAAAATCGAAAGCATTTTTTCTACTGGATTAGAAGAGATGTATTCACAAGTCTGCTTATTTACAATATAATAGGGCTGCAACACATCACTGGACATTTTGTTGCCTCATTCTGGATCGCAGAACATGGCGCTGTGCATACTTGGAAATTTTGTCAATTTTGTGATGTAAATTGGAGGTTACTGTGTACGTACCTTTTACTTTTATTGCAGTTTGAAATGCACTTTTTAATGCCGATTCTTTCTAAGCCTGAAATATGAAAATAGAGTCGCAGTTCCCCTTTAATCTATGTTAGTTTTTTAATTCCTTATGGGTAGTGGATGAATGGAGAAAAATGTAGAAAACAGAGAAATGGAACCAATCAAGCTTGGTGGGCTGATTAGTTTCTACTTATTCATGACCTTTTGAGGCTCTGATTTATGTTTATAACAATATATGCTTCTGTGTTTTTATGAGGTGCATATACAGTACATATATTACTGTACCTCCTTTTTATCCCTGGACTTGTCAATTTCTTTTTTTAATATGTCGATTTTCTTAAAAGACTCCAGGCTGTCGACACTGTAGACCAGCACAAATCCATCGGCAAAGGAGAAATAGTGTTTTGGAAGATCAAGGCCATCCTGAAGCCCCTTGGTGTCATAGAGACGCAACTGCTCCTTCACTCCCCTGTCTGTTTCCACAGATGCTACATAGATGTCCTCCAGGGTTCCACTGGATTCTGACCCTTCAGAGGAAAAGAAAGATTTCTTATCGGTCATGATGATTATATAGCTAGTTTGATATACTGTAGTTATCAGATTTATAAAGTGTTCTCTGAGTTTTAAGGTTTTTGCTGATTTATGTTTATCAATGCTTTATATCAATGCTGTTATGCAGCACTTTTAAAGACATCCATTTCATCTAATTCCATATTTTATAAATCACCCAAGTACAGAGTTTTGAGCCTTCTCTTTGGTCACTATCCTCGGGTAGTTTTAGTATTAAAATGTTTCCTATGAGGAGACTAAGTTGTTACACAGTGATGTTCATGAACATCAGAATCGGCAACTTCCAATTTCCACCACTGTAACAAAATGAAGAGTAGTAAATATTGTTTATTAAACAATATTGGACCACGAGCTCTCTTCAAACTTCACTCACTCATCGTCACAAGCAATTCGCATTAACAGCGAAGTTACTACTTTCTAGCCTGATCTCATCTATCAAATATCAGAAGGTGATCAAGGCTGGGTGTAGTCAGTTCAGGGATGGGAATCCTCTAAGGAAAACCAGTTTGCTACTGCATGTCGTGTTGGAATAGAATCTCCAGGGCAGTGCCCATTATGATGACTGGGGACACTGCGTTATAGGTGATGCCATTAAAGATTAAAGATTCTATGGCACAGTCTAAAGGAGTAATGGCGATAATCCAGGATAATCCAATCCTGAATAATTTCCTGCCTGGCTAACACAATACAACAGGTAAAGCAATGTCTCATTCCTGCTGCAGGATGGGGCTGCTGGGGCAGAATGGTTACAGGTCATCACCCAGGTGGGTGGGTGGATGATGAGGCTCCACTCTACACAAAAGAGCTCTGGGAAGAAAAGTGCTACACAAATTCAAACAATTATAACTTAAATTAAAATTTCCAGTAAATCAGATCATTTAAAGCACACCATCTCAGGTTTTGGAAATAATTATTTATAGCGTGCTTGTCTGCATGCGTGTCCCATTAGTTGGTAGCCATTTTGTGTCCTGTTGTCCCTGTGATGAGGACGGCTCAGAAGCTCTTGTTTTCCTGCTCCACCTTCTCCTTGTGGCTGCTGGTCTCCATCATATGGTAATGATGGTGTGTCTTTTAAAGCCAGTTTTATAATTCCTTTGAACAAATAAATGGGTTCTGGTTTGTGAGGCAGCAAATAATCTTTTTATAATTATTCTGTTTTCTTCTCTACCTTATCTTTTATTTCTGAAGGGCATAGTGATGTCTGCATGCATTCCTGGTTTCAGATAAATTCCTTACTGAGGCCTGCACAAAAAGTACAGGCTACAGTAGTGTATACTTTAGCACACTGAGTGCTATGCTGGTGAACAATTTGTTGCAGTAAACAAACGGACATTATGTATTTTGCTACGTCTCAATCTAAACGTATTTGTCCAAATGTATGGTGATGTCCCCATGATGCTCTAGAGATCATGGTGTTCCATGTTAACAATTTCCAGGTTGGAGATAGGGGTTTCCTTTTCCCTAGTTACTTAGGCAAACCACAGCCACAAGGACACATCCAAGAAGCACAACAGGTCTGGGGCACTTCAAAGCAAAACCACCAATTTTGCTGGAATAACTCAGAGTTCATCAATAGTGGATAAACACTGTCTTATGTGCAGTGTAGTAGATGTATATTGTATTTTTTTCCTTCTCATCATATGCCTATGTCTCTTATTTTTGAAGGGGTTTGTGATGTGTTAATTGTATAGTGTGCTGTGTGTTGAGTTTCCCACCTGGGTCAATAAAAGAATTAATGCACTGAGTATCATACATTGCATTGTGAAGCAAGGTAAAATAATTTCTATATACAGTATATATAGATACAATAGCAATTAGAAGTAAAACCTGGGGTTTCTTGTTACTATACTTTCCCATGTATTGTATTCAGACACTATCAGATATCTCCCAAGGTTTATTTCTTCTGCTCTGCCCAGCTGGGTAGAGTTAAGTTCGCACACCTGAAACAAACTCCTTCGTTAGCGCAGTGTTCATACCAATTCGGTGTTTAAAGTACTGATTAAAATGTTAAAATCAAATCTACGATACAAAATTGTGTTAAAATCATATCTACGATACAAAATTGAATCAATTTTGAATTGTAGATAGGATTTCAACATTTTAATCAGTACTTTAAACACCAAATTGGTATGAACGCTGCTCTAACGAAGGAGTTTGCTTCTTGATTGTAAACTTGCCAGATCCGAAACCATGAATCCGAAACCATGAAAACCTCCGATATAAACTATAATGCTGTCTTGGAAAACGGGAAACGATTAACTCCTGTGTCAATACTGAGGTGCACAGTCTTGGCTTTTAATTATCCTGTTACATGCACTCGTTTTGATTGAGCTGGCAAGCTACTTATCACACCTAAAAAAAAAAAACTTACCCACAATATGATTTCCATACAGCAGTTGCTCCAGAATGGCCGTCTTCCCCACAGCTGCCAACCCGCAGACCACAACTTTACATCCTTTACCCATTTGGTTTTAAAAACCTGGAGAGTTCGTGGAAATGAAACGAGGGAAAACTAAACCGCCTCAATCAAAATAACTACGAGAAGCAGTTCGGAATGCAGCGCCACAGGAGCGGTCTATGTCATTAGGGATTTTTCTAAAAATATAAGCTACTACAGTATATAGACATGCGTGTAGCTCCGCTTTAAAGTTTCAGGCTAAATTCAACGCTCCTGCACAATTTAGCAAAGAAACAAACTGAACCGACATCACATCCAGTTATTTCTTGTAGTTCAACAATAATACATTCAATGATAAACCGGTCACCTCTGCAGCAAAGGCGACAACTTGACAGGAAGCTCTACAGTAGAGAGCTGCGCAGGTCCGCTCGTACACTTAAACACAGGTGAATAATCAGGGGAATAATCAAGTTAATTATTGTTCTCGGAGTTTCTCATCTTTATCATTTATTGTTTTAGCTAAAGGTAATAGATGGTGGTGGTTACATTACCTGTAAAGCGCTTTGAGTTAGTGTCCAGAAAAGCGCTATATAAGTGTAAGCAATTATTATTATTATTATTATTATTATTATTATTATTATTAGATATATATAAATATTAACAGAAGCGAAGTATGGATATTCACCCTGGTGGTATTGGTTGGCGGATTCAAAAAAGCATTAGAAAGCTTTGCCGTCCTTGAAAGAGGTCTCAGTTTACGCTTTACATAAGTACAATTGATGTCTGTAGGAAAATACTACATGTTTTTGATCATTAATATATCGGTACCGATTTCTACACCGGTAACTGAGAACTTGAAAGCTTTCATGGGAAAGAATAAGGGTTCTTAAATAACTCAATTGCCTAAATTTGTAATGATGTCAGCCGCAACTTCTTAAACAAAAATGTATATTTAAAAGGAATAATTAACATTAATCCAGAAGATTGGAGGACATAAATTGAAATAAGAAGTTTTGAAACAGAAAGTACTTGACATGCCTCTTGACATAAAGAGTTGTGCGGGGTTGGGTCAAACAATTTAATTGTTGTGTAAGAAGAGAACCGATACTTAAAACACCTATGCGATGCTGGATCAGCAAGTGTTTGCAAACAGAAAAGACACATAATTCTTAGGTTTCTCTTGCTCGCTCCTAACTCCTCAGTACAGACTTCCAGAGTTCGCTGCGGGAATAATGGAAATGAATGAGGCCCAACATACCATACAAGTACAAACTAAATAATTGTAAAGAAACATATATATATATAACCCTAAATTGCGTTCTATTTCCTGTAGGGAGTGCTTGCAATATTCTGAAACAATATTTTGTTGCTTCCAGCCAAAACATCATCCTAATTCCAAGGTACTGTTCACTACATTTCCCAAGCACCCTTGCGTTGTCACATCAACTTCCGCCGGTAGATTTTCATAAAGCATGATGGGATAGCTCCCTCTTCCTTTCCGGCTGGTACGCCATCATGTAAGGAGATTGTGTTTGGTTATTCTGTATGTGCAATCCACATAGAATCCGTAATAAAATCTTATCATCGGGTCGAAATAAGTTGAAGTTAAAGTGTAGAGTTTATAAATGTTTTGGTACTACCGTTATTGAAGTGTAACAGTGGATAAAGAGAGAGTTATTTGCGATTGAAGTTTGGGAAAAGGTGCAGGGTACGTGTAGACAGCCATTGAGTGAAATGGTGCTCTACAACGTGACTTTTCGTTCGGATACATAGTATTTATTCACCGGCTTTACAGCCATATGAGATCGGGTGAATATAACGAATATGTAATCATTTGAGAAGGCCAACGTTGTTAAAATGTAGTTGTAAAGTGTATGTCCGGTTGGTCGCATTGGCTTGCGGGTACCATGACTCTTTCAAAGTGTGTTAAGGAAAATAAAGAGAAAGAAACCGTATTAAAGGGTTAATAGTTACTCCTGGTTTCGATCTAAAGCGTGAGACCGTAAGGTGCTTTTCTTCTTTCCTGGTGGTTTTCAAGCCGGGAAGCAGCCTCAGAAAATGTCGGATGAGTGTAGAAACTCGGGACAGGCTTGACACAGACTTGACTGCTCTTCTTGTCCGCTTAGACCAAAATGGGAGCGTACAAGTACATGCAGGAGCTATGGAGGAAGAAGCAGTCCGACGTGATGCGCTTCTTGCTGCGCGTCCGCTGCTGGCAGTACCGCCAGCTGTCTGCCCTCCACCGCGCTCCCCGACCCACCAGGCCCGACAAGGCCCGCAGGCTCGGGTACAAGGCGAAGCAAGGTACGTACGCGATCGCTCGCAGAGCCGGTGGCCGTGTGTAGAAATCCTCTTCCCGATCTGTGTGGTCCTGCACCAGTAGGTATGCAATTGGTGCGGTGGCTCACAGCGTTGGTGAATGATGCACGTAGCGGCACAGGTTTTGTATTGCTAAACGGGTAGCTGGCAGACGGCTTTCGTACTTTGTGAACCAAATCTGCATTTAAACAAAATGAAGTCTTCTCCTGATTTCCTAAGCCTATTTTGTCGAAAAATGTCAACGTGTATAATTGATGGGAGTTCTACCCCCTTTGAAATGTAGCATCTTCTTGTGCACTCTTCTGGATGTTTACAGCAATAATTTGCACGAATGGGTTTATGGAAAAGATTTCACATGCTTTGGGATTCCGTCTGCCAAGTTAAAGCAAAGATCAAGTAGATGCATTTTATCCTGTACCTGTATGAAGAGAATAGTTTGGTATTTTCTGTTTTGCTATTGACTTGATTCCAAGTGACATATACTCATTTTCTGAACACCTTCCTAAAGCCATGTGAGTAAAATGTCTTGCAAAGTGTATAGCACTGTCCCCCCAAGGATATGCATCTACTACCTTCAAGTTTTCAGTCCAGAGCCCTGTCACTCCACACTTGTACATAATGAGCAGTAGTAAGTACAGTACAGCACATCACAGGGCAGGAAATGGGACTCAATAGTCAAAATGTGGGATTGGACGATCACTTTATTAGCCATATACAATTTCTTGCATTAGGAATTTCTCTTTTGCTTGCTCTCCATGAGAGACAGAGATAAGCTTGGGCTCAGAGTGCAGGGTCAGCCATTGTACAGCGCCCCGGAGCAGTTGGGGTTATGGGCCTTGCCTAGTTTTTAGGAGGCTTCAGAAAGTAGAAGGTGGGTGCATTTTAATTTTTTTTCTTGGAATAGTTTGTGGTTTAAGGTGGGGTGCAGAAGAGGAGGGTTTGATGCATGTAAGAGCATCTCAGAATCAACCAGGAGATGGGAGGAGAAGAGCAGTGAAGGCAACAGTAAACCTTAGAGGAGTCTTGCGCCCAAGGCAGTAGCAAAGTGGGGTGCTCCTGTGTGATCTCGGGATTCTTTTTCTTGCAGGTTACGTCATCTACCGGGTGCGAGTGCGCCGCGGTGGTCGCAAGAAGCCTGTGCCCAAGGGAGCCACCTACGGCAAACCCGTGCATCACGGTGTTAACCAGATCAAGTTTGCCCGCAGCTTGCAGTCTGTGGCTGAGGTTCGTAAACATTCCCAGCCCTCTTCTGTCTTGGCAAGATATTGCCGAAACCGGTGATTTCTAGGTTTGAGCTTAATTCCTGAAGTGCTGCAGCTGATTTGCATCAGTCTATTTATATTTCAGTTGTAAAACTGAGCTACCCAACCTACACTACTCCTGGATTTCTGAACACTGTGGTCAGTCCCACTCCATCCTTGACTAGATGTTTAAAGTTGCCAACAATCAAGTTTGAAATATATGATGGATGAAAAAACACTCATTACATCAGTCACAGCTTACATCCAAACAGTTACATCAAGGGAATTCTCCATTTTGGTGAAAGCATGCGATAATGTACACCTGTTATGATGTAATGAGCAAAGAATGAAAAATGAAATTACCTATAGATGTGAATATTTGTATTAAAGGAGATGGCAAAAGAAAATATTCAGGTGTTGGATGTTGGAACATTCTGTATAGGCTTTTGAAACCGCAATACCTGTTCTCCTAGGTGTAGCAGTAATATTTTGAGATGTCGGTCTCATTCTGTTGACATTTGTTTCTGAGTTTGGCTGCACCTTCATGCACAAGGCATATTGCTGTGAAAATATTTCAGATGGAGGTATACAGTAGCTCACTCCTTTCCAGCTCCATAGTGATTTCATTGGAAAAAAAAATAAATCAGTGTTTAGGTTGCACTTTAACGATAGATTGGATAAGCTGTTTTATGTAGCCATGAGGGGTTGACATTGTGTATATATACAGTATTAATCTTTCTTTTGTTATTCTGGTAAACCTGTAATGTTCAGTTTGAAGAATGTTTCCAGTGAAATTGAGGACAGTATAACCAGAGTGTAATGTTTAAACTAGTGAAATTCAGGCATTTCATTCTGAAGAGTGATTCATTCAATTTTCCAATATGCTGTTTTGGGTTTATGCAGGAAATGCAAGAACTCAGTTGCTTTAGGTAATGGGTTATAGTAAATGAAAAATGCACATTAAAAATCCATTTTAACCCTTTGGTGGCTGTTTTGGAGTTAATCATGGTTTCATTTTGAAAATTCAGTAGTCTTCATTGTCTGTTAAGATATTGTCATTGCTTCAAGAACATCAGATTTCTGTGAGCAACAGTGTAGTTGTGTACCAACAGAACTGAAGTTCATTGCATAGTGGAGATCATAGTGTCCAGTGTAGCACATGGTGATAGTGTTAAGTAGCTCAATGTGCATCTCTGTTTTCCTTCACCTGGCTATAGTTAGTGCTTTTGCCTGTTTAACAACAGTTAACCAGTGCAAGCAAAAACTTACATTTCGCAGTACTTGTTTTATAGAACTGTATTCTAATGTGTACCCTTCGTTCCACTTCAGCGAACCCCTTGGTAACTGTAATCCAAAATGGTTTAGCTGAAAAGGCACAATTGCCACCGTGCTTAATGTAGGCCGACTTTTACTGCTTTAACAATGTAGGCATTGTTATTGTACCAGTCACTTTAACATTCATTGACAGAACTGACGATTTAATGATATTGTGCAGGCAGGCAAATAATACCTATCAAGGATCTGAAGAAGACTGTGATAAGTGGAAGCATTTTAAGAGCATTCATGTGGATTGATATTCTTTTTGTCGCGGCTTTACTGCGCCGTGGCCTAACGGGTTTTCCTGTCGAACAGGAGCGTGCTGGCCGCCACTGCGGGGGCTTGAGGGTCCTGAACTCCTACTGGGTGGGTGAGGACTCCACGTACAAGTTCTTCGAGGTGATCCTCATCGACCCCTTCCACAAGGCCGTCAGACGCAACCCCGACACCCAATGGATCACGAAGCCCGTCCACAAGCACAGGGAGATGCGCGGGCTGACGTCGGCCGGGAAGAAGAGCCGCGGCCTGGGCAAGGGTCACAAGTTCCACCTCACCATCGGAGGGTCCCGCCGCGCTGCCTGGAGGCGCCGCAACACGCTGCAGCTGCACCGCTACCGCTAACCTCGTGGTGCTTGTGTGTTTCAGGAAATAAAGTTTTTCAGTGGTACCTTCCTGCCTCTGGTTGTTGTTTTTTTTTTTCACTGTGCCATATTTTGAGGTTTTGGAGTCTCGTGTATTGGTAGCTGTATGTTTCCACCTAGAAAAACGCGTGCAAAAAAAAACATGGTTGGGGGGGTGAGGGGTAAAGTCAGCTCTTCAGGCTAGTTCTAGTTCTCTGTGCGGTACACTATGATATATAAATTGCAATTCTATGAAATATCGAACCCTGCCTGAGCTAATCACGTGTTGTTCCAATGATATACATACACAGTTAATATAAGTAGCGATAAGTTTTTCTTCTATGCAGTTGGTTCTGTTATCGCATAATGGTTGTCTCTTTGGAAACACCCTGTGTTGTGGGAAAACTCCCTCTACAATTACTTATTGGTGGGGATTGGAAGAGGTCTACAAAACCTCTTTTTCATGTTTCTTACACAATTATTTCGAATCTAAAGGTAAATACAACCACAAAAATGCATGAGACTTGGTGTACTACTGTACACCAGTGTTTGTTGCGAAGCAATGGGAAATGAGAGATTTACATTTTTTTTTAAACCTTTGATTCTAGACGCTTTATTTGTGAATCATTGCATTATATCCTGTTTCTGCTGTGACTTGTTTTGACAAGTTGTGGTTTTTCTAACCCTGCGGCCTTCTGTGTATTTGCTGCAAAGATGAATTTGAAAAGCATTTCTTCACGTGGCTAGAGGATTTACTGGTAATTAATAGGTTGTAGTATTGATAATTGAATAGTGGAACGCCAACGTGAAGGGAACAAGTGAAATGTGTTTAAATCCAAGAAAGGGAGGAACCTTTTTTACTCAAAGGCTTGTTAGAGAAGGGAGCAAACATCCCTACCTTGTTGCTGAAACCAATATCCTGCCGCCTTGTGAGAAATGTCCAAGATCGTTGTTGCAATTCACTACCAAATACCAAAGGGGCAAACTGGGCCAAATGACATATTGTTGGCAACTTTGAAGTTCAGCCCTCTTTTTGTTTCAGGTGGAAATAACATTGCGGTTTAAATCTGGGCCTGTGTTCTGTTACGGGTTGAGTTTAGGAGTTTAATGCAAGTTATGCAGTGTAAATAGAAAGTGTTTCCATTCCACCTGTCCAAATGTGAAGCTAAAGAATATAAAACACGCATCCAGATTTTCAATGAAAGTATCATTTGCAGGGTAAAAACAAGTGACAAAACTCACAAAAGGCATCCAACATCCGTGAAATAGGAAAAAGTCTCGGATCACTGCGGGAATCTTCGACATCTATCCTTACGTGTTGTATCTCTCTCACATCATTATCATGACGTTTACCCTGAGTCTATAGTCCATACATCCCCACCAGATGACAAATTTCAGTTGTTGTAACCTTTACAAGCAGAGATCAAATTGCACCGTGCACTTCCGTGATTGGCCATGTTTGCACAAGGCTAGCCCTCTTAAAGCAATGAAACCGGTGGCATCACAGACACAGGAGCACTGCCCTGGACTACTGATGAAGCAAACAGTGGTATTCCGACTTAAACTTCAATTCAACTAGTAGAAGGCTCGTTACCTCGTTGACTGAAATATGACTGAAAAACTTTCATACTTCTGTCTTCCTTGTAAGTATTTTGGTTGCGTGTAAATACATTTCTTTCCTACCATATAACATCTAAGGTTTTTAAAGAAAAAGCGTCATATAAAATTCCATTTGCTGGTGCTGTATTCAGAGAAAGCTCTGTAAAAATGGTTCCCATTCAAAGAATATATTTCTGTGACAAAATCCTAACAGATGCCAGGTTTCTTTATATTTGACTGCAATTACATAAAGAAAAATCAAGCTGAGTCAAAACGTTGATTTGGAATTAACCCGTATATGAGTGTTTTGTAGTTTGTTCTGTGGCTTTCACCCCAATTGTTTTTGACATTCTATTTCTAGGGTGAAATGTTATTTAACTAAAAAAATAAGTCATTTATTAATAACGAAATTATCCAGCCTAGGAATTTTGGAACACAGGCTGGAAATAAGCAAAGAAAATTAGCAATGTTTTTAAAGCAGGTCTTAGACATTCCCTTCAGGAGAAAGAACGTATAAAAATATTCATCTAATCTGATTATCTAAACTCTTTCTCCTGTTGGGGGTCATGGTGGTAATAGGCAAGCAGGCCAGACCAGGCCAGACTTCTGTTTCCCCAGCAACAGTCTCCAGCTGCTCCTGGGAGATTCCCAGTCGCTTCCAGGTCAGCCGACAGATATAATCCCCCCTGTCTGTCCTGCGTTGTCCTGGGGGTCACTTCCCAGTGGCTGTACAAGGTACACCTTCGACTGGAGGATGCCCTGGGTGGCATCCTCGCCAGATGCCCAATCCACCTCAACTGTCTCCCCTCGATGCAGGGGAGCAGTGACCCTCCTCAGAGGTCCTCCCCGCCTGCAGAGCTCCTCATCCTGTCACGGAGGGTAAGCCGGCGGATCCCACGGAAAATCCTCATTTCCACCGCTGGCACCCCTGATCTCATCTCTTGATCACTACCTAAGCTTGTGACCATGGGTAAGGACTGGGACGTAAAAAATACCGGAAAACTGAAGAGCTGTTTTCTGAAAACTCCTGGTGTCCCTGATCCAGCAGGGATCCTCTGACTTTTTAACTGAACCATCATGGGAATTCAGTTTGGTTTGTTCGTTGTTGCAAAGCTCCACACAGCATAGCTCTAAGTGTCCCTGGGGCACCCAAGCCCCTCCACCATGAGTAGGTCATGGTCCCAAGGAAGGGATGAAACTTCCTATATTATCATAATATTATCAGGTGGATGCTGCACATTGGTGGTGGTGGAGGGGAGTCCCCATTACCTGTAAAGCGCTTTGAGTGGACTGTCCAGAAAAGCGCTATATAAGTGTAAGCAATTATTATTATTATTATTATTATTATTATTATTATTATTATTATTATTATGTCTGTATCATAGTGTATCATGCCAAAATACAGCCAAAGGACAGGTCAGGCACATGGTATAATAACTTGATACAGTATATTATATAATACCTTCAGAAAGTACTCATTCCCCCCTCAACAATTGCAAATATAATAATGTAACAAAATTTTATGAAAAATTAAAAACAGAAGTATCTTGTTTATAGAATTATTGATCCCCCTTAGTTCATACAATTACAGGTTTCAGTAACGGTTTTTAGTGGCCTTGCAGATTTGCTCGACCTTGCTGAACCGGATTCTTCAAGTCCTTCCATAGATTCTCAGGATTTTCCAGATGAGCTTGGTCTTGGCTGGGCTCAAGGATTTTCACTATCTTGTTCTGAAGTTGCTCCAGCATCCCTTTGTCTGGATGCTTGGTGTTGTTATCTTGTTGTAGCCTCAATCTTCACCCCAATCTAAAGTATTTTAACTGACTGAAGTACGTTCTTCTCAAGAAATTCACAGTGTTCCTGTCTTTGGCTCCATCTATTGTTATCCTGACAAGTGCCATGCTGCTGAATTCAGTTTGTACCAGGTATAATGCTTTGCATTCAGGCCGAGAGTTAATGTTTTGTTTCATCAGACCAGACTACATGGGTTCAGGGTCTGCCATGTGCCTTCTTGCAAAATCAAGGCATGCTATTAGCGTACTATATGCCTATGTAGCTCTGCAGAGATCATTGTCCACTGGACAGGTTCTCCCATCTCAGCTACGGAACTGTGTAGTTCTGTGAATGTGATCATTGGGTCTCTTTTCTGAAGAAGGACCTTCTTGCCCGGTTACTGCCCGGTCTAGGAGCACAATCAGCTGCAGGAAGAGCCTGGGTGGTTCTGCATTCTTTCCATCCCCTAATGATGGACCCGACTGTGCTCCTGGGAACTTTTACCACCCTAGAAATGTTTTTGTATCTCTCCCCAACTGTATGCTTTTTAACAATTTTATGACTGAGTTGTATAGACTGTAGGCTCTCATTATTAGAAGTGATTCAGCCAATGATGGTCGTGTCATCAGCATATTTGTAGATGGAGTTGGAGCCGTGTCTGTCCACACAATCGTGGGTAAACAAGGTGAACAGCGGGGGGGCTCCTGAGGGGCACCTATATGGATGGTGAGTGTGGAAGATAGTTTTCCATCTATCCTCACAGTCGGTGGTCTGCCAGTCAGGAAATCCATAATTCACCTGCATAGAGGTGTTGATGCCCAGGTCATTAAACTTCCTGACTAGGTGTATTTGTTTCTGAAATGATGTCGACCAATTGAACTGAGCACAGAAGCACTCCATTTAAGTTTTACAGTGATCTCACAAGGAAATTAGATGCACCTGGGTTCAAATTGGAGTGTCATAGCATAGGGGGGGAATACGTATAAAATCAATACATGATTTCCCACATATTTAAAGTACATGCACATTATCACTCCATTTGAAGTTCTCCTTCCATGGGATCTGACACAGTGTTGCACCATCCTCACATCATCACACATCGTCCAAGTTGCCTCCCTTTGAATGCGGTCAATTATATCTCATCCCAACCTTCACTGACAAAATACATTAACTCCCGTAGTTCAGTTGGGTAGCTGCGCCAGCACGCGTAGGCTGCGAAGGAACAACTAAAGGTTTATTCCATGCTGAAAGGTGAACAAAAGAAACGTTTCGGCTGTAGAGCCTTCTTCGGGTGTGTCGGCTCCACAGCCAAAACGTTGTGTTTCTTTTCTTCTCTTTTCAGCATGGAATAAATCTTTACTTGCTCCTTTACGCCAACTTCAGACGAATTTCTCATTAATGAAACAGATCTGTCTTTGTGGTATTGCTAATGTAATATATCAGTATCAGTATTAGTCTTATTGTAGTATATCAGTATTATTATGGAGATCTTACTTCATCTCTTTCATAAACTCATATTGCGGCATGTGTAAATGTCTTTTGCAAATAGCAATGTAAAGTTTAATCATTTTCTCTATTTAAACCTTTATATAAAACAGACATTTGTCATTTAATGCGTTTTGCACCTCCACCCTCAGCACCCACACTTTCCTGACAGAAACAGAAAGTAAAAATGAATTAGTTTTCATTCATTCTCACTTTTTCATTCATTTTTTCTCACGTTTCACTCTGTGGATCTGGATAGAAATAGCTGAGCTAAAAAGTGCCGGTTGGTGGACCACATGTAGTACAGTAGATATACCACCCACTACTGCAGGAGATCAGCTATTTTATGGGTCTCTTCTGAGTTTTGATACGCGTCTGTTGTTTATGACTTGACTAAACACAATCTCAGGATCCCAGGCCAGTTCACCACCACCAGGAGGAGTTATAGAACCTGAATATTCCAAAACCCCCAAATTCCTGTGCTCACCCTACAATGCACCTTTTATTGAATGAGTGAGAAATTGCTGATTCTTCAAAAAGCCCTACATGGAATCAGGTAGAAAGTCTTTAGACCAGTTAATTGCACATTTACCAATTAAGACCATGTTTAAAATCTGAAATTCGTCTGGTGTTTGTTCCACTTTGAGCAGTTAATTGACTAGTTAGTCTAATTATTGTTCATGTTTTACAACTGATTAATCATATAATTCACTTCATTAAAGTGACAGTTGTCTATTAAAAAACTGGGGCCCTGGTTAGAAATATTACAATTATGGTTATAGTGAAGTAGATAATTAGATCGAAAGACTCTGAAAAGACTTTAAGAGTTTTAAACCCCTGTCTTTATCCAAAGTGATCAACAGTATTACAAGCTATCATGCAAAAAGAGTATGACTTACAAAATAGTTCAGGTTGGTAGCTGCGTCAGCATGCATAGGCTGCAAAGGAACAAGTAATAGGTTTATTCCATGCTGAAAAGAGAAGGACGAAAACACAACATTTTGGCTGTGGTCTTTTCTTTCTTCTCTTTTCAGCATGGAGTAAACCTATTACTTGTGACTTACAAAATGGTTGCAACTAAAAAAATAATCAGAAAATAGCACATATTGAAGGAGTTCCAAGAACAAACTACAAAACAATATCACATTTCTAGCTCTATGTTCTGGTAACAAAATGCAGTTATTACTAATTTAAACTAAGCGAGTGGCAAAAGCTTTCTTTTTTCCAGTGCAAGATTAGTTGTTTTCATTGAAGAACATAGACAGAAGACAGAAGTCAGTTCTATGCCTCTCACATACTTTGGTAGTAAATTTGCTTAAGCAGCCAATTAATAGAGGCTCATGTATTTGGGCAGACTGCCCATAGAACTGTAAAAGTACCAGTAATGCCTGCTGCCTGTAAGGCTGTTTCTTTTTGGGCTTACAGAACAAAAAGCAAGTCTTCTGGCTCTTGGTCGTAGGCAAGGTTGCCAACTGGCCCCAGATCAACCAGTCACTTTCAGACTGGGCATATTATACCCCTCGCCTCTAAATGAAAACACAAACAAAAATTGTTTGCTAAATGAAATATGTTGCTTAATTATCACTACACAATATTAAAAAATAAATATATTATTAGGCAAAAAAGACATCTTGATTATTTTCTATCTGCGCTATTTCTGATGATATCTGACAAATACTCATATTGCTAATTTCATATAAAGCAAAAATGTTTAAACCTGGAATTCATGTGAGTTTTCCGGTATTTTTATGGACCTTTTATTAAATAAAACTACTATTAATGTATCGGTCTGGTAATTCAATTTTGAAAGACATTAAATATATAGAGCTGCAAAATGTCCACGCACTTTGTTAAACACACTGATAGTTGTTCGGTTGTGTATTTCTATTACGATATTACTGTTTTTTTCTAGCGGAAAAATATTGTAATCTGTTGTAGGAATTCTGAGAGTAAGTTCTCATTTAATGACGACCTGCAGGTTATTTACTAGAGAAGTTAATGAAAGACATGGGGGACAACCGTTATGTGCCACCTGGGATTTCGACCTACAATTCCCAGTGCAGAGCCCTAACCACAACTCCCATGGTGCTGCACGAAATTATTTTCTAGCCTGTTCTTTTAGTTACTGAGGTATTGTTTCCCAACATTCATTGACTTTCCCTGAAACTTTGGGATTTTCCTCAAATAACTTCCCAATTAATGTGTAGGACTGACCTTGCTCGAATGCCGTTGATTATGCACTTCTGAGGAAGACGTCAGTGCTAATAACCCTGCAATGCAGTGAATTCAGGAGCGTGACAACCCGAAAATAACTTGTCATGTTTCAACCTGGAAATATCAAAAAACACATGAAAAAGTTTAGAGAATTTTAAAAAATCTACATTAGGCACATTTTGTTTTTTAAAAAAGCACTTTTATTAAAATGCATGCTCTAGAAATGTACTGAAACGTCGTTATTAAACACCACCGTGCTTTTATTTTATTTTTCGATAATGTTTGCCAAGCGTGAATGTGAATTCACAATAGTTTTTAAATAAATACATTAATTTATTAAATTTAATGTGACTATCATGTACCCCAAATATTTAAGGCACGTTTCGACCATTTTCCAGGTGGTGTAACGCAGGACACCCATTTAGGCGGTGGGCACTGGTAGCACCCCTGCCCTGTGCTAAGTGAACTACAAAAGTGTGTCACTGGGTTAAAATGACTGAAGAGCGGGGCTGGAGGAGGAGCCGCGTAGTGAGACAACTGGGTCACATGATAACGCTTCTCTGTACAGTACATTCAGTACTTGAGCATTCAGAGAAGGCAGGGTGGATAGGGCTGCTGTCACCTGTCTCCCAAGTTTATATTCTGTTTTGCCTTCATTTGGAATAAGACAGAGGCGCAGCAGACATGGTGTAAGAGCTATTGGTCGGCAGTACTGGAGATAAGCAGCAACAAAGCCAGAACACGTACTGTAGCTAACGATTTATCGAAGGAAAATTTTCACAAAATGTATTTCTAAAAAAAGCTCATTAAAACAAAATCATTCTAGCTGTAAGACTACGGTTCGGAAGAGTTGGCAAGAAGATACAACTTGGGGCTAGCTCTAAGCTGACTAGCTCTAAACAGGTAAAAATAGAAGATAGGTGTTATTTTTGTAACTTAAAGACTATCGATATTTCTAATTAACAAACGGCTGCCGGTGCAAGCGACTTCACGTTTGGTCAACTTGGATCCTTCTTCAGCTGGGGAGGCTCTTTAAAGTCGGAAGACATGGAATCAACAAAAGCTGGTAAGGTTTCAGATAAAACATCCTGTCGTGTTTTTTTTTTTACTTGTGAATTTAATCTGAAAATACGTGAAGACTTGGTCTGTTTATTTTGCCAGGGAAGCCATCCAGTGACAGGAAGAAAGAATGAATGAATGTAAAGAAATCTAGTCACTTCTGGTTGAAAGGTATTCAGCGAAACTAAAGAAAGAAAAACTGTGTCGTTTCGGTGGTACATAAGGTGTGTGCGCTTTTGCTAACACGGAGAAGTGTTTTTAGTCTAATCGTTTAAATCTCTAAGAAATATGGGTTAGGAGTGCCAGGGGGTTGTTGTTACTGTGGCAGTTGGCTTCAGCAGCAGTGCAGTTGTCTTACTCACATGGCCCGGTGAGCCTAGCCATGTGCAACTCTGTTTACGCTCCGCCGTGCGTCTTCCCTGATTGGGCGAGGGAACGGCTGACGCAGCGGTTGTATAATTCTGCACGGTTGCGGGTGCGGGGAGCAGCTGCGGATACACGTGAGCCAGCGCGCTCGAGAGTGTTTTGGTGACCTAGTTTTCCGGCGCCTTCCCGGAGAAAACATGGCATGGACACGTGGGGGCGGATCCGGGAATGGGAGACTCCAGTACGGTTTCTAGGGGGAAAAAAAAAGTGACTGAACGGATGAATACAAGCTACATTATTGAAACAACAACAAAAAAAAAACCTCGTCGTTTTATGTAACGCTTAGTTTGGACCCGTTGGTTTGCTAATAGACGAACTGATGGTGTGTTGTTGCGGTATTTGCATCCTCCTAAAAGGATACACGCTATCTTAACTTCTTATTTTGGAAACGTGAAGCGAGGTTTAGGAATTATGATTCTGGACAAAATTACAGAATTGTTCGAATACTGCTGTCGTTCAGCACTTCTGAACAAGGCGTTATTTAATTTGGCTATTTTCAACCATTCTGAGGCAAAAACACATTACATTCCGAAATCACCGACTTGCGTTAACGACTATTTTAATATCAGCACACTCATCTTTGTAAAAAAAAAAAAGTCTGATTATTTTGTATAATACACGGTGTGTAATTATTTCAGAAGTGCCTGGGCACTTTCAGTGCATATCTCCTAAAATTTATGCTGGCTAGAATGATGTCTCACCCAGTCCAGTCTTGCCCCCTGGTGCTAACTTGAGTGTTAATTTTCCATTTGCCTGAATTGGCAAGATGTTTTTCACCATTTAGATTTTGCCTATGACAATAAATAAAATAAATTCGTTGCCTGAATTGGTTGTGTAAATATTGTGGGCAACTGTTCAACCAGAAGCTGTTTGAGCTAAAAGGTGAAAATTGAATCTGCAGAGTTGCAACATTCAGCTCCCTATATGTCTGAATTATGACGACTAAGTGATTTTTAGTTTTTATTACCCTATGCTTTCTGTGCTCTTACACACTTTATATTCTTATACTTTGCATTTTCTGAAGCTGTTAAAGTTCAGGGCTGGACTTCAGCATATGTACGATTAAGCCAGCCTTCGTCTCTTACACCCGTTTTAAACCAAGATTATGTAACAGTATTATTCAACCGTGTTCAACAAGGAGTGAGAGAAACCAGGTCACCCAATAGAATAGATTAAAACCCTCAGCAAGTCTGTATGGTCTAATTAACCTTCCTCATGTACAGTATGGTGACATTTCTTAAGTGTGAGCAGTCTGGTAGATTTCTTGGGGATTTTTTTATAGTGTAGAAGTGAAAAGCCCACAAAAGATTAGAGTGATTGTTTGTTGCTGTCTGTACTGATAACTGAATCTCTCCTTTTGACTCATTTCCTCCATACCTGTTTTAGTTGAGCAATCTCGATGCAGCAGTGTAGGGTGTTATAAAGAAACCTACTCATACAAAACATATTTGTTTATCTGTCAAAGAACACAGTAAAAGAAGAAACCATTCGGTTAGTATAGCGTACCCATTTGTGACCCCCATTTACAAATTTGATTCTGCCTGAAAAGAAGACACTAAAAAAAGTGAAGGTTAGTGAAGGTGTAAATGATTATAAGCATTCAAAACAGGAATGTTATTACTTGTTGTGATACTTAGGAGCAGAGCACAGAAAGAACAATAATTAAGATACCCTTATATTTGTATGTTTATTTACCCTTAATAGACGCCTATTACCTATTTCAAACCACATGAGTGTATTTCACAGGAATTTCGTTACAGGAAGATAATCAGATCAAGTCTAAACACGCTATTGAATGTATAAGTCTAGTAGCTTTTATGAAGTTTATAAGAGTTGTTTAAAGTTGTAAAAATATTGACTTCACCTTATTGCGCTCTGGGTAATTACCTAGACTAGACTCTGTTAATTTACCAGTAGAACGATTAACTGTACATTCAGATAAATTAAGTGTAGTACCATGACCTAACCTACTTTTTATGTTACGAAGAATTTGTTCACTTGCAGTGCAAGTGAATTGAAGTGAAAACTAGTTTCTCCAACATAAGTCTTAGTTTCTATTCTTTCATAAAGCCACAGTAGAATGACTTTGATTCTTTTGTTTTTTTTAATTCTGAAACTTGATTCCGTACATCTGTTTTCAGCAATGGAGTATGCAAATGAACTGGTTTCCCTTTCATTGTTATATTTAAGCAGAGAATACAAGGGCTTCAAACAAGAGAGACCATTTAGCCCGTCACACTTGCTTGATTGGTTGTTACAGATAAATCCCCAAATCTCATCAGATGTCTTCTTGAGGACTGCCAGCCTCAGTGAGCAGTTTGTTCCACCACAACTGTGTAAAATGCCTTTTCATGTTTTCACTTCTAACTGCCGATTCTTGTGATCCTTTGTCTTTGTTGTTGAGCTCCAGTGTAGATCTGTGGGTTTCCTTGATGTTTGGGAATTTCGAAAGCTTGAATCAAATCGTTCAACAGTCTTTCTTGGTCATGTCTGAAGAGATTAAATTCCTTTTGCCCATGTGATGTAAAATAAGGAATCTAATCTGGTTTCTGTTCTTAAACCCTTTCAAGGGCAGCGATACTTTAATGTAATCCAATATGTGTTTTTGCAAATGTTTCATATAGTTTTAACGTTACCTCCTTCTTTTTATTTTTTTATATGTCCTAGTATTTTGACACATTCTTGTATTGTCTGAATAAAGGTTTTGATGAATTAACTAAATTCTTTGTCAATTCTTCATGTTTATCACTGCCCATTTTGATGTGCAGATCTGCTTCCTGTATGTAGTAGTTTGTATGCGTCAGAATTGAAATTTATTTGCCATATGTCTGTGTGTTTGTGGGTGATGACCAAGTCCTTTCATATTTGTTTTGTAGCTGTTGGTCTATTGGATATGTGTGTGTGGTCTGCTTTATGATTGAACATAAACAAACGGTTAAACTTTAACAGCTTTATGAATCGTGTCCAAGGTTGAGTTTGTTGGTGTGTAAATCAAGAGGAGCAGCAGGCCCCAAATAGATCCTTGTGGTACACCGCTAGCTACCTGGATCCAACTGGACGTTTCACCCCTTATCATTGTTTGACATGTAACCTTCAAGTGGAATCTTACCACACCAAGACATTTCCACATTTCTGAAAAATCTCAGTATATCTTGTACTCATTCCCCCCTTCAGTGAAAATACTGCTATGACAACAGTGGTGACGTGATATTGGGAATGAAGCAGTAATTGCCGCAAACTGTCACAGCCTCCTGTAAATGTGGTAAAACTCAGTTATCATCCGATTTTCATAATATGCAAATGCAAGTATGTTTCGGGCGTATTTTTAGATGGAGTTTTCAACCTACTCTTAGAATTCCCATTTTCCTGTTATGCAGGTGACCAGTAACCAGTTAGACCTAAACACGGTCTGAGAAAAAGAATGCGGCTGGTCTTTCATTATCACAATATGTTAAAGCTATGCCGACATAGGAAGTGGGACTCTGGTTGCCGCTGAGCTCTGAAGTTGTCTTGTTTCTCCCGTGGCTCTGTCCTTTCTTCCAGGAGGTGTGATAGCGTACATCAGCTCCTCCAGCTCGGCCTCCAGCCCGGAGTCCTGCCACAGCGACAGCTCCAACGGCAGCTACCAGTCCTCCTCCCCCCCTCTCCCAGCGTCCCCGGGCCAGAGGGGTGACCTGTTGGCTGACAGCTGTGTGAGCAGCGGAGTCCAGGGCCACAGCCGTCACCACTCCGCCACCAAGCCGGGCCGTTCGTCCTCCGCTGCCAAGTGTGGAATTACAAGTTAGTACAGTTCCAACAGTAAAGAGGTCACTAGTGCAGGACTGAATCAGAGCACTCGCAAACAGGAGTGCCTTTCTGATGCGCTGTAGCGTGGGGTTCGCAAGCCTCCACAATAAGGTATGTTTCGTAAGGTTCAGTGTTGCGTTTTCCCCGTAATGGAGTGTGATAATGGGAAACTCAGTTTTGGCTCTGATTTTAGTTGAGCTACGCTGACTTTGCAGACCTTTAGTTAAAGATAGTAGTGCTTATTTGTGTATTTCTTAAAGGATGTGGTTATAGAAAGGAAGGGGTAAATAAAACGTTATTTCCAACAGGAGAATGATAAATACGTAATGAAAGTATATCTTTCTTACCTTTATTATATATTGTACATCCATTCATTCATCCAAATTGAGGGCACCAGTGTCTAAGGTGATGTCTGTGTGGAGCTCTGAGGGAAAGACATCATCAGCAAAGGGCAGGAGTGGGCGGTAGCACGTACTCCGGGATCACGCTGTCCAAGCATTAGTTCAAAGCAAAACAAGCAGGCAGCTGTAGATCTGAAGATTGCAAATGTCATCCTGGGCCGTGAGCAGCTAGTTACGTTAAAATGGGTCTGCCGAGATCTCGACAGAGCATAATACTATAGTCAAGCTGCGGTACAGCAACCACTCATCACACCTGGCAAAGTACAGACTCAAGAACAGCGGAGAAATGTGTTATAGTCAGTTGAATCATCCTTCACCATGTTCTTGACAAACAGACAAGTGCACATGTGGCCCCCAAGAAACTCCACAGCCCTGAGGGTCTTTGTTCCAGCAGTGAAGGGTTCTGGTGGTTCCGTAACGTTGTGCATTTGTTGTGGTTGAACAAGTCAGTTGATTAAGTTTTAACACCCACATATCCTTTGTGTGTTCTTATTTTTGCAGAGATAAATGGCATGGTTCTTCTCTGTAAGGTGTGTGGAGATGTTGCATCGGGGTTCCACTACGGTGTTCATGCCTGTGAGGGATGTAAGGTGAGCATAAGTTCCAGTGTAAATAGTGCCTGTTAGGATGTTTCAGATCCTAGTAATACAAATTAAAAGCAACCCATATAGTAGAATATACATTTATAGAAAATAAACTCCCCATTGTATACTGACACAAAGGAAACAAAACTTCTCATGAGATTGTGCTTCCAGTGTTGTCTTATTATTGACTGAAGAAGCTAATACAAAGAATGGATCTGCAGTATTAAGAGTTAAGCCTGCTTCTGTAACATATTAAAGCAGATTGTTTGGAGTACTACTTTAAAATTGCAGCCTTCGAACAGTCTAATGGTCCTTTTGCCTTTGTGTGTGTGAATACATTTGATTTGCTAGCAGACTCTTATTTAAGCAGCCCTGAAAGTTTTCAATAAAAACGCCTTTCACATTGGATCAGTATTGGAAGCAATTTTAACTCTATATTATTAATAAAAATTGCTTTCAAAAAGAAGCTCATTATTTCTAGAGTCTCACAAGGGACATAGAGTTGGATTGCAAGCAATTGTTCCCTGAGGTGGAGGTTCTGTGTTATAAATTGGTTTATGCAGTTTTGTTTAATGCTTTTCAGTAAATATTCATTTTTAATAGGATTTTACATTCTTTAAAAGTTAAGAATTTTGTCATTTTTTTCAGTGGAATAGAAGAGATACTTTAAATTGATAAACTAGGTTATGGCCACCTGAACTTAACTGTAGATCTGAGATCAATATCCTTAGGGAATGACAAGTTTCTGTAAAAATAGTTCACATTTCTATTTTAGACTTATATTCCATTTTGTGGCCTAAATATGAATAGTTATACATTAGGTGGCAGAACTAATTCTAAGATGAATGTAAATGCTAATTCTGTGCTTTGCAGCAAACTTCAAAATGTGTTTTCTTATGCACTAAAAGTTACGTAGAGAACTATACAGACTAGTCAAAAAGAACTGAAGAAATCCGCGTCTTAGATATCTCAGAAATCCACTGATGTTGTCAAGTGGCTACATTAACTATTGACCTAAAGCAACAGACCTAACAGCTGTTTATGTGGAAGTGTGCATAATGACAGCCAGGAATAAGACCTACAGTGTAATGCTTGTATTTGTTTTGTAAATTGCGCTCCTGAAGAGTGACATTTCAAATTCCTTTTTTTTTGTAGGGTTTTTTCAGACGGAGCATCCAACAAAATATCCAGTATAAGAAGTGCCTTAAGAATGAAAACTGTCCAATAATGCGAATAAACAGGAACCGATGCCAGCAATGCCGATTTAAAAAGTGTTTATTAGTTGGAATGTCCAGAGATGGTGAGAATGCTTTTTTGCCTACTGCCTGCAACCCTAGTTGAAAAAATGAGTTGGTAGCCATTGTGTGGCTTGATTTTTCTATTTGTTAAATTTGCTTTTGGGCAGCCAAGCGAAATAGTTTGTGATATTGTATGGTAGTGATGGTGCAAACAGGAACGTTTTCTCTTTCCTCCCTCGTCATGACATTTCCATGAAATTAGAAAAGACTTAGCATCAGCGTTTCACTGTAATCGTGAATAAGACACATGATGATGATAGCGTAAACTATACAGTCATTGCTGATTGCTTCCTTTTTGTCTTTTTTTACTTCCAGCTGTTCGATTTGGCCGCATCCCAAAGAGGGAAAAGCAGCGCATGCTGCTGGAGATGCAGAGCGCCATGAACAGCATTATGAACAGCAGTCAGCTCCATGGACAGGCGCTGGCCAATGAGGCTGTTCCCGAACATGCACGGGATTCTCTCTCCTCGTTGCCCCCCTCATCCGCCCCCTCTGTCCTCGAGGAGCCCCAACCAGACCCGGAACCCGTCCAGCCCAGCCTGGATGAGATGGAGACGGCTCCGACGCCCTCGTCCTCTAGTTCTGACAGTGGCGAGGAAGAGGTCATCGGGAGTGTCACCAGGGCCCACAAGGAGACCTTCATGTATAACCAGGAGCAGCCGAGTCCATGTGGTGAAGATCTGACTTCTCTGAATGGGGGAGAGAGGGTAAGTGATAGCACAGAGGAGAAGCAAGGAAGCTGGTACAACAGGAACGCCCACAGCAGCTTTGGTGGCTACCACCATTTGGCCAGCAGGAACCCACATATAAACAACGGACTTCCTAGAAAGGATTCATTGGCTTACTGTCCCGTCAGGCAAGTTAATGGACTCGCCAGTGGCTGCTGCCCAGGCTATACAAACAGTTTTTCCCTTAAAAGCCAGGAAGACCATGATCAAACAGCCAGCAGGAGTTTCAGTGGACCTGTGTGGAGTGGGGGAAACAGGATGTACTTGGTAAGTGAAATAATTTTCTTGGCAATAGGCATGGTATGCCTTTGAAAACTGCACCATCTGTATTACTTGCAAGGTCCACAGAAATATATATGTGTACTGTGAAGAATATTCTTTTCTTAGTCCTGTACACATCTTCGGCAAATCGGAATGAGGTCAAAACCTGTGAGTTGGGAGAATTTGAGTACAATTTGTGCTGCATTTTTTAAATGTACAGACTGTTACACTCCCAGTTGACGTCTTTTCACTTCAGATGTCAGAGCTATCAGCTGTGTTTTCTCTTTTATCTTTAGCATTTCTGCACGTTAGAGTGAAAAGACAAAAATAACAGTCTGTGCTGACACTAGTATTTTATATCAACCACCCTCCGTTTGACATCAGGCAACATTTAATGATCATCATTAAGTTTTATTTCTGCTACTCTGTATTTTTGTAGGTAATGTGTGCTATAATTTCTTATTGTACTGGCTTACATTTCATATTTGTGAATATTCTTGTGCTTCTGTAGGTCTGTCCAATGAGTATGTCTCCCTATGTTGACCCACGCAAGTCAGGCCACGATATTTGGGAGGAATTTTCCATGAGCTTCACCCCAGCTGTGCGAGAGGTGGTGGAGTTCGCCAAACGCATCCCCGGATTCCGAGATCTCTGTCAGCATGACCAAGTCAGCCTGCTGAAGGCTGGCACTTTTGAGGTGTGTGATTTTAAGTACCAACTCACCAAAGCATTAGGGTTCAGAGCTCAGCTTTACGTGGATCAAGCATGGATCTTTGAGTCCTTCTCTAGTTGGTATTCAAGCAGATTTTATATTTTTAAGTTTATTCATTGTGGATTATTATTCTTCAGCCTTCTGTTGAAACTATGGTTAAAATGCAGAATTACACATCAGTGAGCAATTTTGTCTCATTTGGTTTATTCACTCATGCCACCAGTTGTGCTTTAAACATATTACATTCAGGAAGTAGGGATACAGACAGGGATGTGTAGAGGAAGGGATACTTACTACATGTAAGACATTTGAATTAAATAGCAGAAATGTGAGAGCCAAAGGCAACAACAATGCCACACAGAGATATGTTGTCCACCTCTTAAAAACATCAATTCACCATTTGTTAAGTTTGAGTGGAATTCGAAGCCTTTTTATTTATTACATCGTTGTCATTTTGTCTGAAAAATATTTCTGAAATTTTAATTTTGAAGTTTTCAAATACATTGTAGAGTATGATTTTCACCGGGCACTTTTTGAGCATCTCTTATAAATTATTAATCATCCTGAGAAATCTGTGAAATTAACTTATTAAAGTTACATTTCTTGTTTGGATGAATTCTGCTTTAAAGTCTGAGCCTTGAAACCCTCATGCATGCATTCAGCCTCATTTTGTGGTTTTGTTTTATCGAATGGGCATTTTTGTCCCTTATTTGCCAGCATTGGATAGTTTTACATCTACAGAGCTAAATCTGAGTTAAATGAATTGAAGAGAAAATTCTAGAACAAAATATGAGGGGAAAATGGGTATTTTCTCAGACAGATCTACTTTTTCTGTGTTTGAAAATTGGTCTGATTGAGTGTGAGCATTATAGAATGCTTTTTCTTCTTCCCCTGATCTTATGCTCTGTTAACCTGAACAGGTTTTAATGGTACGTTTTGCATCCTTGTTCGATGCTAAAGACCGTACAGTCACTTTCCTAAGTGGGAAAAAGTACAGCGTGGATGCACTGCGTTCCATGGGGGCAGGAGACTTGCTGAACTCAATGTTTGAGTTCAGTGAGAAACTGCTTGCTCTGCAGCTCAGTGAGGAGGAAATGAGCCTGTTCACTGCAGTCGTTCTGGTTTCTGCTGGTAAGTAAAGGCCGTTTCTGTTCGTGCCTGGCAGTTTGGTCCTACAGTTTACAAAAAAAGACTTTTCATGTATGCCTTGGCATGTGAGAAAATGTTTAATGTTGTACGACTTTTTCTGGTTATTTCAAATACCATAAGATAAAGTACAGTTGGCCCATGTGTTAATTTGTAGGTGCCACCATTCTAAGTTCTAATTTAGGAAATAATGATTTTTTTTCTAAAATAAAATTAATAAGATATAATTGTGGTATCGAACACATGCTCGTAATTAAACACATAAGCGATTCATTTATAATTGCCTAGTTATTTTATAAAACCATTAAAAATACCTAGCAGTGGTCTTGAGGTGTTTTTTGCACGGTTTTATTAAACAATGTCTTTAAGATTAGCTTGTTTTTTTATGAATGTTGTGACTGCAAATATGAAGAAGCTGAGTAATGGGATTGAATAGTCTTGCAGGAGTGCTTCCTACTCCTGGTTCTGGGAAACTTCTCTTTTCTGGCTTTTGTTCCAACATAGCTTTTAATTGAACACTTCTTTTAAAACGTTTCTTAATTGTAGCTGATTTCTACATTTACGTTTTAAATAAAATCTACATTTAAGTTAAATAATTTCTATTATAGATGTTTTCCACTTAAATGAGCAAACAGATCTGTGTAACATGGTTTAAAAATAGTTGTTCTACCATAGCTTTCCAAACAACTCCTAATTGGTAATCCATTAAAGATGTAAACAAACAGGTGGGAAGACACGTGTCTCATATTACTCATATTATAAGCATTTTTAGGGATGTATGTTCAGTGAATAAAATGACCATCTGGTCATTTAAAAACTAACTCTACTTGGGAGGGGATCTGTCACAGGTAACATCTGACACAGGGGTCACGTTAAATTCTGACCCCATCCTTCTGATGTGAGAGTTTAATTAACTTGGAAAAAAAGGGAAACATTCAGGGTTTGATAAGTTTAATTAATAAAGAGCTTCACTGGGATGAAAACCAGTGCATGTTGTGACCTGCCAATACGAAATGTTGCAATTGCTTACAAAATCATCTTTGTCTTTCCATGTCACACAACTTTTAAAAAAACAAATGAAAGAGTAGATTTTAATTAATAGAAGACATTGCTCTTACAACCGTGTTTTATTTCTCTGCAGATCGTTCAGGGATCGAGAATGTGAACTCGGTGGAAGCACTGCAGGAAACTCTTATCAGGGCACTCAGAACCTTAATCATGAAAAACCACCCGAACGAGGCCTCTATCTTTACCAAACTTCTTTTGAAGCTACCTGATTTGCGCTCCTTGAACAACATGCACTCAGAGGAACTGCTAGCCTTCAAAGTTCATCCATAGACCATACAGTTCTGTCTCTGGACCCTTCTACTACATTCAAATTCAATTATTTTGTTGTATATTTTATTATGTAGAATGTTACTATTTATGTGCATACTTAACATTTTCCTTCACAATTTCTTTGTGGAAAAAGTGTGTTAAGAGGCAAGACTGAATATCTCTGTACTGTATGGCTTATCTGCCTATTGCAGAAACTCAGAAACACGCACAAAAGTCTATGCGTGTGTGCTGTTTGCAAGGACAAAACTCTTAAGAAGCACCTTTTTTGTTGAAAGAAAAGCTGTATACAATATGAGTGCAATATGTGACCATTTTTGTCTTTTTTTTGTTGTCTTTGTTTAGTTACAGAGAGAGGTATATTATTATCGAATTGTGTTGCACACCACCATAGTTAATGTTTCCAGGCATGATGAGGTTGATATACAGTAGATGTTCAAAAGACAGATTGTGCCTAATGAAACCTCGCATAATGCCTGGCCAGTAATGGCGCTTAGTAATGTTTTACCCCTCAAAAAATTAAATAATAGAATGTGGTATTTGCTGCTAATGCATGGCTATCCTGTTTGATCAGATCTTGTGAATGTTTTCTGCCTGTTCTCCATAGAAAGCTGATCTGCCAGCAATTTAAAGTAGTTGGATTTTATCCCACAACGGGAAGATACATGACATTTCTCTTTTATTTCAGTTGGTAGTAATGGTGCAATTGTGTATTGTATTGTTATTATTGATAGTGTTTTTGGGAAGCTACGACGTTCTTTAAATAGGAAAGAGATCTCACAATCCTAAAACCTTGATCAGCAGTATTGAATTCTACCACATGCATAGAGCAACCCATAGAGCAATTTGTAGTCTTCACTGACTGCCTAAAATAATTGTGTAACGATTGTGGTCTCTTTCTGCAATTATGAAGTTACAGATGGCTAGTATTCAAATAAAGAAGTTTATTTTTATTGTTATATGTATATAAAAAACACAAGCCGGGAGTTAGACGATGCTGGATGTGGGAGAGCAGGTTGGGAGTGGGAAGAATCTGTTTTTGAAAGTCACGTTTGAGCATTTGTGGGAGTGTGGTAGTGCCACCATCTCACCACTACAGAGTGGTGCTACATCCGATTTCAGTAGCTTAAAGCATCTGTTGACTCTTCTTCGTCTTTATCAGCAGCAAAAACGTCTTTCACACATCAGCCTAGAGGCGGATTTACAGAAAACGACTTGAAAGTAACACTGGTGAGAGTATAAGTTAGGCAAAAAATGTGGATGCCAGCACTTTAAGGATGATTGCAATAAGTTGTATAACAAAAAATATCGAAATTAAGCACTGTACAGCAGAAAAATTTAAGTAGGTCATTATTGAAGGGTCTAAGCTATTGTGAAATTATTCTAGTAAATCTTTAGAACAAAACTCCAATATTTGTACTTATAAAAAGCTATTTAGGAGGATGTGCAGAGAGGTCATGAAGAACAAGTTGAGTAACTTCCTCAGTTTGTTTTGCAGGATCTCTGTTTTGCACTTCCAGAGCTGCTGTTTTTCCCTTCCTGTAATTGCAGGTTAATGATTAATCTGATGTATTGACTGGAACAAAAACACGTGAAGATTGTTTAGGGAATTGTATTTCTAAACTCCATCTCTTTGCTCCCTTAAGTTTGTGTGCCCGTGTTGACATACGTTTTATTGTCATCTCTCCCCTCACCTCACTCAAGTTGTGATCTTATGAACCCGCCTCTATGCTGTATGTATACATGTAACCAGCACATCCCAAAACATTTGTCTTGGTTGTACGTCATTACTATTTTCCTCTGTGAAAAGTAAACTAAACATTATACAGTATATAGATATAATATATATCCATATAAATAAAGATATATGCAGAACCTTGTATAGAAGCAGAATGTCATTTTCTTCACTTTTCTCAATTTATAATCAATGCTTGCAATCAGATTTTATGAAAATTATTCAATTCATATGGAATTCTTTACTTTTTTTACAGAAAAGGTTTGGCTGCTATCTACAGTATGTGTTGCACTGTCAGAACTACACTCTAAGTAATAAAGGCTCTTTAATTTGTATTCTACGACTGGGTGTCTGGATACATTGCTTAATCAAATGCATTAATGTTACAATATAGTACAAAGATGTGGTAGCCAAAACACTTCTTTTAAGGTGTTTGTATTCAGGGAAAACATTTTCATTTCGTTTTCTTATTTTTTCAGGTTTTTATTTGATCATTTTTATAGGGAAGTAGCTTCAAATATCATCTTTTAATTGTGTGCTATTCTTTAACTCTTTAAAGAATAGAGTTGTTCTATTCTTTAAAAACTTTTTTGTGAGTTATTCTTACCTCACAATGAAATATTATTTTCAAAACATATTATTTAATTTTGTATAAAACATTGTACACTTTTTTCCATATAATCTGCACAAAAATGCTTATTGAACTGGATCATGGGACAGGTTTTTAAGTTTATTAAGACCTGATGTTCAGAATATAATTTCTTTATAATTTGACAGTCATGCAGGTTCAAATCTGTTTTTTGTAAAATTTGTTGAAATGTTCACCCATACAGAATAAGGATGACAGTGTGCCAAGCATGGCAAAGGTCTGATACATTCTTTATGAGTCATCTTTCTTGTCCAGCTTTAATGTAACAGATTTCTGACTTGATCTTTCCTTGTACCACAGCACAAGGAGGTAAACTGCTCTAGGCCCCATTCACAAACTTGAAACTGAAGAAAACTGTATTCTGTGGATTTTGTAGAATCTCATTCACATAATTCACTTTCAATCTGTAAATATTTATCTGTTCTAGAACATTTAAAAAAAATGTATTATCGGAAAAATAGATGTTAAATTTATGACTGTAAAGGTGCTGTTGATGGAATCCATAGAACTCCACACATAACCATTTCCTATAAAGTAAGGTTCCTGATATTTTGAAGAATTATTTTAACAGTAGCTATAGTGATTGCAAGTTCTGTTTACTGTTTTGGTTAATATAAAACTAGATTCTTAAGAAAGCTAATTGGAGAGCAGGGTGTGTTTTTCTGTTATTTTAGATCGGATTTCTCTTACAGACATTTAGAACAGGGAAATAACTCAGCATTCAGCATGTGCTCTTGTTAGTACCTCTTTACCCCACTTTGAATGAACTGCTTCATTAAAAATGATTAATAATCTGTTAACACAATGTTCAATTATGGTTAAATGTGCTCATATTATTTTATTTTGTAAGATAAGATAAGAATTTGGGCATACGGAAAGACATTAATGTCTTCATTGTTAAACTCTGAAGTGTTAAGTTGTACTGATGTGGGTTTCAAAACCAGAGATAAAGTTGTCTAGGCCTTTCCCATCTGAAGTGAGAAAAAAAAATCATTTCTGTAACATCAGAATAAAGTTTTCATAACTTGGAAACAGACAAACAAGATCTGTATGTATCTTCTATAGGCTTTTTGCAAACCAAGGACTTTGTGAATAGGTATTTTGTCTTATGTGTTCTAATGGTGAAGGTAATTGATAATAGTTTGCTGTACATTTACAGAATGAACGTTGTAGTGCTTTCAGTTGTGAGCATGTTCAATTAAATTTGCATGCTCGGTAGTTTATTGTGACTAAACAAATTACTAAAATAAGCCATCATAGTTTTTTGCAGAGAATAGGTAAGCTTGAATATCTAGTTATATGAATGAGGTATTACATGTGAATATTTTGCCTTAGTGCTGTTGCCTAAAAATACCCTAATACTTTTCTCTTGCTAACCAGCATAGGGACTAAGTTTTGCAGTATTAGTGTACAGTACATCCTTGAAAGCCTTCCCTATGCACATGTAGAAAACCATATTTTAGAAAAAAAAGTATACACAACATAACACATTCAGGAGACTTTGAGTCAAATGCAACAATAACAAGCTTGTTTGTATCCGGATATAATTAGCTGTCATCTGTGTAAAAAATGATTTCTCGTATACTGTATTAATAAGAACAGGATTTTCATCTGTACTGTATGCAAATGTAAGTGTATTTTCCATGTTTATTAAAATATTTACAATATTAAAAGACAAAATGATATACTATGTAGAACATCTCAAATTGTAACAGGACTCATTCAATCTTTTAACCCCGTGGTTCTCAAACTATGGGTCGCGTACCGGTACGCGGAGCGCCCCCAGGTGGTACGCCAGATGACCCTGGAAATTTGTTGTGTGCACTGAAATATCAGGACGGGTTTTCATATTTACTATTTTAATAAAATACGTTTGTGTCAAATACGCAGCCCAAGTACTACGATATAGCACTAATACTTGACACTAGAGCTACTATGTAATTCTATACTATTGTACAGGAATGCTTGCTACGAACGGAAGTGGCCAATTGTATTTTAAAAAAAGTTATCTCCAGCAAATAGGGAGGTAGGAGAATTTTAGAACACTGGCAATCTACTGAGCACAAGACAACGTGATAGATAACAGAAAAATATTTAAGGACTGTCCTAGGTTCATTTGAGAAAAATGCACCGAGCGTCTCTTGTTTCGCTCACATGCACATGAAATAAACCGAACTTCTTTTAACTCCTGAGACGGACTCCTGAAACGGAAACAGGGAAAAATGCAAGCTTGCGGATTGCTTAAGCAGGTAAGCCCCACATTATTTTTGAAGAACTTTGTTTACCGTTGGCAAAAGAGCAAACGTATTATGTGTGGAGAAAAAGCTGCTTAACAGCTCGACCTGCTGCCCCCTTCGAATGACACAGTCACTCGTAGAATTATTGATATGGCGGATGATATCAAAACTACTGTACTGTACGCTGATAAGAGTTTGTTAAGATGAGCAGATACTTTTCACTGCAATTAGACGAGTCTGTAGGTGTCGTTGATTTGGCCAATTTGCTCATTTACGTTAGATATGAGTTTGAGGGGCAAGTCCCATGAGGACTTTCTGTTTTGTAAGCCGCTACCAACAAAAACCATAGAAGAGCACACATTTCAGCATAACCGTGAGCCCTTGGCAATCAAGACAAAGCCCGGGGATTTAAAATCTGTTAGACCCTGCTGTCAAAGTTGTGAATTGTATCAAGGCTCGACCAATGAATTCACATCTGCTTTGCTCGACTAAACAGGCTCACCCCTCTCACTGAAATGGTGCTTTTTATTGTTTATTTTTAATAGTTGTTGTTCCTGTTGTCATTCTGTAAAGCGTTTTGAGAAGCCACCTTTAAAGGTGCTATATAAAATAAAGTATATTATTATTATATGTGTGTGTGAGTGTGTGCGTGTGTGCACGCACTCATGTTGGTCGTTGAGATTTTCTGGGGTTCCTATGAGAATATGACTTGTAGGTGGTACTTGGATGCTTTGGTTTGATCAGGGGTGGTACTTGGTCCAAAAAGTTTGAGAACCACTGGGGCTGATTTAATCTCTTTATGAACTTTGTTAGCTTTAAAAGTCTTCTGTGATGTGAGGCTGGTGTTTTAGTGGAGTGGAAATCACCATTTCTATGGAGATGCTCTATGGCTCAGGTCCGGTAAGTGCCTAAGAGAGACTGATTGAATCCCAGCAGTGTACAAGGTGCATTCAGTGAGAACACAAGACAATTTGCAAACAAGAGGAGAGCCCAACTTACATTAAAAACTTAATGTGGTGCCTACGGCCGTCTCAACTGTTTTCAACATAATTATCAAAGATGTAGGCTTCTAATATATGCAGAAATGCCCACACAGTAATGGTGGTAACATAACTCAATCCTTCCAGTCATCTGTGGTTGCCTCAAACCTACGCCCACAAACTGCATTTCTATCCTTGCCAGCATTCCTCCCTTTCGCCACAAGCATGCAGT